TTGCTAGAGTAGAAGTTAGTGGTGTCCAAGCAATTTCATGCTCCTACTTTGAAGGAGAACACCACTTTGATCTCTGTCCATGGAATCCAGCAAATCAAAATAATTCTCACTCCAACATATGCAACCCATTGTAAGGGCAACTCCCAAATTTTGGATGGGAGGAAACCAATGTGGACATGGTCAGTGAGGACAATATAATGCTCTAGCATTTCAACAAGAAAATCTTCCCCTAGGATTTTTCGGAGTTGAGCAACATCAACATGCCAAGCAAGCTGCAAGTTCATCAAATTATTTGGAAAATCTAATTAAAGCTTACATGGCTAAGATTCCTCCTGAAACCAGGCACAAATGCAACATACCTAAAAAATAGCTCAGTTCCCTAATCTTGGAGAATATGTTGTTTCCCATTCTCACCACGGGAAAGCTCCTTGTAGTGAAAGATGTAAACAACTGTCTGCCTGAAGCAACGTGCACTAAGGCTGCATTGTCCACTGCCCATTATGATGCCTACTCTGCAGCTGCCACTAGCTAGCAACACCTCTACTGTCAAATAATTTGCAGAATCTTCCTTTTCTTGATCCTCCTTGAATTTCTTGCAAAATCTTTTGATGTGTCGATTCTTGTGGCAATACAAGAACTCCACATCTCCACTGTTACTCCTACCTACTGTCCTGATTGTGCCTTTGTTGTCTTTTCCCATATTCCATTTTCCCTTTTCCTTTGCTCTGAACTACCAAGGCTGATTCCAAATTTTTTTCAAACCCAGAAGTAGAAGCATAATTTTTTCCACTTCCTTTCCTGCGAATCTCTTCAGTTATTGCAATGTCACAAATATCTGCGAATTTTAGACTCCTGCTACCCACTGAATTTGATACAACCGTCTTCATGATCTCTCAACTGTCAAGCAAAGAAGACAAGAACTTAATGGCCTTCACCTCTTCTGAAAAAGTAATCTCCAAAGACTTCAACTTGTTCATCATATCAGTGACTTCATTTATGTGGGAGTTCACTAAGGTCCCCTCCTCCATGTGGATGTTGAAGTATCTTGTGATGAGATATACCTTGCTGTTGGCAGAAGATTTTTAATACCTGTCTGTCAAAGACTTCATCAATCCCATTGCTGTTTTCTGACTCGCCACAAGGCTCACCACGTTCGTCGACAAACACAACCTGATGATTGCTAATCCTTGCTCATCCATCTCTATTTTTTATTTGTTATCCCAATGACCGATCATTCTTTCAGGGATTTATGAATCTTCTTGTATGTTAGAAGATCTGTAATTTGCATCTTCCAAAACTCAAAATTCTCCTCCATCAAATCTTAACACCCCTTCGAAGTAGTGATGTGATTTCTGACTGGATACCATGATACTACAACCTACACCTCTGATACACTTGTTGGGAAATTAGGTGCTCCTAATAATTTCCCCTTCCACAATTCTATTAAGTTATCTTAGTCAATCACAAAACAAAGAGAAATATATGGAAAACAATAAATGCCACAACAGAATTTATACTGGTTTATTCCAACAGTTTATGTGCTATGTCCAGTCTTTCGCTTAGATGCGGGTTCTACTAAAATATGAGATTGGGAGCAAGCGCTCTCAAATATATCTCACCCCAGATATTCACTTTTTAGAGGTCCCAACAAAATCCTCCTAGCTTCTAAGTATTTAACACAATATACTTAGGTATATGAATGAAATACTCATAAAGGATCAAGATACAATACTCTAAATACATTGATCTTAATCTGTCCCAACTCTGCTGCCAATACCTCGAGTCGCTGCCAAATTTGCTCTTAAAATCGGCTGCATAATTTAATCCTTATGGCTGCCCTAAAAAATGATACAAACAAGAAATATATATATGTTGTCATAGCATTAAAACGCTACCCTTGGCATCTAAGTGCTACGAGACATGTAGCGTCACCCACAAAAACGAAACGCCCGCACGTCTCCTGATCTCTGCATATGAGTTCGGAGCGTTGAGATGCTCACACTGCCCCCTTTTTTTCCTTTGATTTTGCATCAACGCTGTGGCGCTGTCCCCTCGACCTAAAGGCCTCTATAGCGCTCAATACTCATTTTTCATTCCTTCGATCGTGCTGACGTGTCCTGGCTCGACCCGACTCGTTTCTAGCTCGTTTCAACGTCGATTTGACTCCACCAATCCCAACACCCATAAATTTTAAATTACGAAAATAAAATCCATAAAAGTTTATAATGGTAAAAGCTTGACATTGCCATCAACTTCATTAAGAATTTCAACTATTGGGCTCTCATGCGTGACTATCAGGCGTGTTTAAATGAAATAAATTAGAAATCTATTGGAAACATGAACAGATGAACAAATAACATTGAATGATGAATTTTTGGTCTTTTGTTAAATAATATTTATGACCAATTCCAAATTTATACGTGTTCTAAATTAATTTCAAAATTGGTGATCAAATTATGGCACATGTCTTTCTTATAATCGTATAATGACATCACCTAATTGGATCAACCTATAAGGAGATTGAGCCAAAACCCACTGAGTCCATAAGAAGAAAGCCCACACAAAACTCTATAAATACAAGGGATCACCTCTCATTTGGGAGATGGAGAAGGATTCTTAAGAATTTGGATTTAGAGGGATCAGAGCATTCAAAATCATTTACAAGCATTTAATAGAGCACTCAGAGTCAACAAAGGTTGAAGACTATAAGAATTGAAGACTTTAAGACTACAAGACTTCAAGAATACTAAATCTTATCTTCATCAAGCTATAAAGTAGAAGAACTTCATCAAGCTGCATAGCCGATGAACTTCAACAAGTTAAAGAACTTTTTCAACAAGTCGAAAAACTTCATCAAGCTACAAGCCAAAGACTTCATCAAGCTGCAAGTCAAATACTTGATCAAGCTACAAGCCACATATTCAATCAAATTACAAGCTGAAGCATAATCTAGCTACAAAAATCGAAGATTTCAAAGATCTTCAACGAGCTCAAAGCCAAAATCTCAAAGGTCTTCAACAAGCTCAAAGTCAAAAACCTAAAAAATCTTTCAACAAGTTGAAAGCTGAAGGCACTAAATAAATATTTATGTGACACTTTATGAAATAAATTTTGGATCAAGTGATATGATATAACAACATTTGTACCTATTTTAAATTTTGATTATGAAGAAGTAAAAAGCCCATCATTTACCCACTCTAATCCTAATTTTAACATAATTATTGATATAATCATAGTTGGCCAAGAGCTCCAAAAATCAACCTACATCAACAAAGATGAGAAACAAGAGGAGAGGCCTCCTAAAAAGGGAAGTTCCATTGGATCCACAATCAAATTTTGACAATTTCGTTGCCCATTTTGTTTGTTGTTCACCCAAGTGTAACAAAATAAGGGAAAATATTTTTCCTTAAATTCTTAACTGGTTTTATTTTCTTAAGATTTATTTTGAGAATTATTTTCCTTTACCTCTAGGCAAGTATAATTTTTGATTTTATGACAGATTTTGCATTATTTTTATTTACCTTATAAATGGAAAAGCGCAAATGTACTCTCGTCACAAGTAATAAGTGTAATAAGTATTCCGAGATCAATCCCTCACGGACTAATGTAATTTTTCGATAGAAATAATAATGATCGAAAAGTTGTAATTAAATTGAGGTGACAAATAACACAAGTGAATGTTGATTTTGGTTGATTTATGAAATAAAATCTGACCCTAAGTTACTTCAAATTAGCTAGAAATTATCGGGACAAGTTCGGCACGCTTGCAATCTCTCTTGATATTTAACTATTACCTTTCTTAATCTGCTTATATGTAAGTGATCTCGATGTACTAAGTTATTCCTAATATATCTATTAAAAAATTCTTTAGTTTTGGGCTTAAAAATAATCACAATCTCGGGTCATTTTGTTGTTGAATAGGCCTCCTCCCATCCATGGATGACATATGGTGCCTAGGTGTAGTTTTTTTGCACAAACAGGTAATTTCCATAATATTTTCAACTCTAATTGTTACCAAAACTTAATAAATACGTCAATAACCTATATAGAACATAATACGTCAACTTAACATCAATTGGTCATAAGTAAAACAACACATTCCTAAGTAAAACAAAGTCGAAACTCATGAATTTAACATCATTTTACCCTTGTAAACAAGAACAACCTGCTGGTCACCAAACTTGTAGAGTATTTTCAGCCTCCAGTATAGTGAGTATTCTGTCCACTCTTGGTATTTGACTACAAAGGTAATTCATCAAACCTTTCCCTTTCGAGTTGAACCAACTATACGATCGAACTCAAGTGGCTAGAAACTGAGTAGTCCATACGCTTGAGTTGTCGTGTACCAATTATGGTCTCAAATATATTTAAGCTATAAGTATATCTACTCATTCAAAGCAATTTAAATCAATCAATACATAATTTTCATTAATTTATTTAATAAGTTACAATTTTTTTTCAATAAGGTTAAGTTCCATTTTGGTATCTGAAAAAAAAGAAAATAAAAAGGTTCAATTTTGGTTCAAAACTTCAGGATGGTTATATTTTGGTCATAAACTTTAAAAATAAATCCTTTTAGTCCTTACTTCTGTTTTGATTTTATTAAATTAATAACATGACTTCAAGTATGTAAATTACCATCATGAACGTGCATTCAAACCACAATACAGAAATTTCAACTTTTAGTGACGGAACAGATTTTCATCGTCAAATGATACTTTCGACGACAAAATGTGATTTCGTCGCCGAATGTATACACTTTTGGCGACAACTTCTTGTTTCGTTGTCAAAAGTGTACACCTTCGGCGACGAATGGATGTTTCGTCGCCAAAAGGGAGTTTTTTGGCAATGAAAACATGTACTCGTCGCCAAAAGTCACTTTTGGCGACGAAAAGTCATATCGTCACTAAAATACCCTTTGGCGACTAAATTTTTTTCGTCGCCAAAGGTTGTGCGGGATTTCTACTGCCCAACATTTCGGTTTGGTACTATTGGCGACGAAACGAGGATTATTGGCAATGAAATAAGTTTCGTCGTCAAAAGTTTGATCCTTGTTCTATCCGCCCGACTCTACCCCTACCCTTTTCTTCGTTCTATCCGCCTCCCCTTCTTTTCGTTCTGTACGCCGCCCACCCTCCCTTTTTCTCAGATCTGTCAGCTGCCCACCCTCCTTTATCTCCCGATCGCCGACCGCCAACCTCCCCCCTCTTCCCCTTCTCCCTCCCTTGCCCCCTTCTCCCCTCCTTCCGCGACCAATTCTCCTTCCCTTGCCCCCTTCGTTCTGTCCGCTGACCGCCCCCTCTCGCCGCCTTTTTTCTTCCATGTCGACTGCCCCCCACCGCCCCCTCCCTCTTCTGCCGCCGACCACCTCTTCTCCTCTCTTAACCATTCTCCCTCCTTTATGTTCTGCTTGCCGATCGCCTCCGCCACCTCCACCTCTTCCATGACGCCGCCGACCGCCACCAGTGCCTCTTCGGTCAACTCCGCTGCCCATTTTATGCCAATCGCCGTCCACTATCACATTTTTGGATGTGTTTTCTTTTTTTCTTTTTATTTTTATGTTTGCTTTAAATTTATGTATATGATTCTTATTTCGTTTTTTGTTAGAGATTTAGGGTTTAACAATACATGTAGATTATATTGATGTTTTATATGTATTGAATTTGAGAAATTGTGAAAGTTATTTTTCATTTTGGCTTGAATTTCATATAGATTATTTATGTTTCGACTAATGTTAATAGAGAGAAGAATTTGAGAAAATTTGAAGGTTCCTAGGTGGGGAACTAGTTGGGAAGTTGTTGTTTGAGTTCGTGTTTTTGGAAAATTTGAAGATTTTGTAACTTTATTTTATTAATAGAAATAGAAGAACTCGTGAAATATTGAAAGTGGGTGTGTGAGGGGATTAGTGTGTAGGTTGTTTTAGTTTGTGTTTTGAGAAATTTCAACATTTTGGATCTTTATTTCAAAATTTGAGAATTTTAGGAATTTTTTTTTTTTTGTGTCTTTGTGTTTCAAAATTTTGAAGATTTTAATTATGACAATTTTTTTAGTGGGTTTTTGTTGATTTCTATTCAAGCGTCCAAATTATAGTGAATAGACTTTAATGGGTAGTTTAATTGTGATTTAAATGTATATATAATTAATCCTAGTTATATGTATTCCATTTGGTTTTTATTTCATGAGTTTTCTTAGGTTGGAATTTATATGTTTGGCTTTGAGCTCGTGGTCAGTATCGTATTTGGTTCCCGACGTTCACTGTAACTTGTGTTGAAGTATGTTGAGTATTAATTTTTAATTAGTTTAATTTGATTTTGACTTCGTTTTTTTGGTTGTGAACGCGCTGATGTTACTTGTTTAATTTTATTTCTTAGTTTGGTACATCTTAACTATTTTAGTTTCGAGCATGTTGGTGTGATTGTGAACTCTTTAATTAAGTTGTGAGTGTGTGAAAATGTTGTTTGTTTGATTTAACTTCTTGGTTTTGTAAGTATGAACTATTTTGTTTGGTAGTGTGTTGATTTTATTGTAAATTATTCGTTGCTAATGTTGCTTCTGATTGATCTAATTTGTTAGTTTTGTAAAGTATGAACTATTTTAGCTGCACCTGATGGTTTAATTAATAGTTACTTAAGCAAATTTAATTTTGAAATATCAAGGTGAGCTCTCTAAATATATAATTAGATTTGAGTTATATCTTAGCTAGTTTACTTCTTTCTTTAGTGTCTATATCTTAGAGATATATCTAAGCTCTCAATAATACTTCCAAATTCATCTTACTTTTTATTATAACATTCATCCTCAATAATGACCACCCCTATTATCAACTTGACAAAATAAATATAATCTTTTGTCGGGTCCTTTTAGGATTCAACATTGCCTATTTATATTGAATTGAGGGTTATTTGAACAGTATTATCATTGAGAATAAATAAAGATTGGACTAAAGTTAGAGATAGGTCTTCGTTCGAGTACGTAGAAGGAGTAAAATAGTTCATAGAATTGGCAAAACTTCACATCAACACGGGTAAAACAAGATGTCCATGTAGATATTGTATGAATTTAAAGTGGCATTCAATTGATGGAATAAAAATTACTCAATATGTTTTATCATTTTGTATGATGCAACAGTAATAACATTTCACTTGTTCGGTGTTTTTTTTTTGTAGGGTCATTTCGATTTCGGCGAGTCAAACCCAGTTATTATGAGTTTCCTCGATCATGCGATGCAATCAATAAATCAGGCGTACAGGGTAAAATTGCACAAATACTACATAAGTCATCCCACACTTGAAATTGCTCGTAACACTCCGCCTGAGCGGTTGTTGGCAAGATCAAACGATTAGAACATGTTATGCGATAGATGAGAGACAATGAGTGAAAGGTACTTTACGAATATAACTTATACTTATTTTCTATACTTTATATTCAATATTCTAATGTAAGTTACTTTTGTTAGCAAAAATCTGAGACCAACAAACACAACAAGGCAACGCGCCCATTCAAGCATTGTGCGGGGTCAGAGACGTTTGCTATTATTGCCAAGGAGAAGGTACAATGCAATAGTATTTTTCTTGCATATACTTATATTACTTATGATTATCAACAATTATGTTTTATCAAGTGCAGAAAGAGCAAGATAGAGACAAAAATTTTCGTGAAATCTATTGGTTTAGGGAAACTAGATACTCCGATTTTTAAGGTTGGGTCGAAAGTGCGGATACAACTTATGTAAGTTTACTACTCTTATAATAATTAACTACAAATTACGCTTCAAATTGTATGTGTAAACATTTTGTAGTTTTTTAACTATGTATGCAGTTAGAGATGATGCTTGTTAGAGAATAATCTATGCAAGACGGAGGCGAACCGATGCCAGACCCAAACGTACTGGAAACAACGCTTGTGCATCGATCGTGGTATGTTAAAAGTGCTAGTTGGGACCCAAAACCTAAATCTCGTAAAGGTTCTGCTTCAAGTACAAATTCTTCACAGCGAGAACAAGAGCTTTCTGAAGAAATACATACCTTAAGAGAAGAATTTGAGGAGCGTCTCTCATAGAAACAAAAAGAGTTAGAGGAGCGTCTGTCACAAAAAAGATTACGAGTCTACACGGTGAAATGTCAGATTAGCATCGATCGTGGTATGTTAAAACTACTGGTTGGGACCCAGCTTGTTAAAAATAGGTACGTCTACATAGAGTTTTGTTAGAATTTAATAACTGTAAATGTAGCTATCCTGTAGTTATGGTAGCCATTTGAAGTTTGTTTGATTAGTTTTTGTTAACTTTGAACGGAAGTGTCGGGGGGAGGGCGGTGGGTGGGGTCATCTTATACGTACTTTTTCTTTAGTGTGTGCAATTTGGATTGAATTTGAATGTTATATAGATATGTTTTTGATCAATTTGAAATGCATTGGTGATAGAGTCTGTGTGCATGTTTTGAAGACTTAGTGAGGGTATGTTTTATGAATTTGAAGTTTGTTTTAATGAATTTTTATTGACTTTGAATGAAAGTGTTTGGGAGAGGGGGTGCTCGTATACTTTTCTTTTAGTTTGTGAAATTTGGATAAAGTTCGAATGAGTTATGGTAGTCATTTAAAGTTGGACTGAATGAGCTATATAGACATTTTTGTCTTTAGTTACTTTTGATAATTTTGTTTTATTTGAAGTGTTTTTGGATAACTTTGTTGAATTTGAAGTGCATTGGTGATAAAATGTGTGTGCATATTTTTAAGGCTTAGTGAGGGTAGGTTTTGTGTATTTGAAATTTTGTTTTAATGAGTTTTTATTGACTTTGAATGAAAGTGTTCGGGGAGGGGGTGCTCTTATACTTGTCATTTAGTTTGTGAAATTTGGATTAAGTTTGAATGCTTAATTAGTTTGAGTTCATGATGAATTTTTTTTGTTGCTAAAATTTTTTTGCGACGAAATTCCACCTTTTATCGACGAATTTTGTCGTCGCCAAAACCTAAAATTCTTGTAATACCACATAAGTTAAAATCAATATTGGACACGTAATTTTGAAAAATCAGGAACCAAAATGATTATTTGTATGAAGTTTAGAGAATAAATTTTTAAAAGGCTAGAAAAACCAAAATAGAATAAAAATTCAGATATTAAAATTTTAATTAATTAAGATTTAAGTTCATGTTAGTAATTATTTCTTTATAATATTTATAATAAGGTAATAAGATATTGAAAATATCGATTGACTTTATTATTGATAACCCAATCTTTCAATTAATAAAAATATTAAATAAAATTTTAATTTTTTTCATGGATTAAGTTCTTTTTTAAGAGAGACGTAAAAATCCATGTTGAATAAATAATTAAATTCTAAATTATTGTCATAGTATCATATTAATATAAAAAGGGGAAAAAACTTCATAAAGGAAGAGAATTACGTGTGGGGAAAGGAAAAGTGAAAGTCAATGAGCAAGACAGATGAGCACAGCAAGGTTTGGAGTGGAGGATGACGTCTTTACTTTTGACTTTTGACTTTTGACTTTTGATCCTTTATTTGATCCTTATAAATATTACATAAAAGTTTATTTAAATTTTAGATCATTCATTATTTTGTTTCGACATGCAAAGGTGAGAATTCGAATGGCTGACCTTGAGGTCGATAACATATATGTTTAACTTGAGTTCGGATTCAAACTCACAATATTTTGGTAGGTTAGCTAAATATCTATGTTTATTATTATATTATATATGTTTTGTATGTATGTTAAAATTTAATTAATTAGTTAAATATGAACAATGAATTAGTGCTATTGAATTATTAATATTAATTTAGAGATTAAGGCACCTTACCTCTTTTTTTCTTTTGATCGGAGGTTCAACTTCCACGTCACATTTGTTGTACTAATAAAATAAACAACAAATTGTAAAAGAAACATCATTTTAACTGTCGATCCCACATATGTCGACCTTTTGCTTTTATCGACATGGGGTTCTCCTAACAGTCCACAAACATTCTGATGAATTTTTCATTAAAAAAAAAAACTTATTTTGTAAGGAAAATTTTGGCTAACGTTTTTTTGCATGGATAGAAAAGTTATTTTGATTCGATCTCACAACCTCTTGAATGATGAGAGGTGCAAATTAACGATGATCTATGTGCTCACTTTAGCCATTTGAGTCTTATTTTAAATTTCAATGAAATATATCATGTACATATCATTTTTTCTTACCATTAAAATTTTATCATATAATAAAACTAATATATAACAAATATGTGTAACATATTAGTTAGTCAATCTACTAAACGTTTTCTCCACCCATTATGCCATTTTTATTCATTTTATACTTTCTAACTTTTATATTCAATTTGAATAATTTTTAAACCTTAATATTAACAATTTTTTTCAAACTTCAAAAAACATGTGCAGTACACATAATTGCTAATTAGTATAAATTAATTTCTGTAAAATGTTTAAATAAAAAAAAAAGACAAATGGGTGGTGTGGTCATTTTTTTATTATATAATTTTTTTAGGTAGAACTTTAAAGTGATTTTTTTGAGATACATATTGTCGTAATTAGTAGTTATTAGAAATGCTAATTGCCCTTAAAAAAAAGAAAAGAAAAAGAGCTATATTGGCAACCTATTTAACTTTTGCTTTATATGATTAAATATATAGAATGATCTTTGATTTTTAAGGTAATTTTAAATTTTGGTCCATAATCTTTTAAAAATTTCAAATTTATCCCTAACGGTATAAAAATTTTCAATGAGGGTCATCCACTAAAAAATGGTTAAAACTTTGTTGATAAAAATATTTGAGGTATCAAATAAGTTATTGTTTTTTATCACATATTTGGACGGTAAAATGTGGATATTCTACTCGAATATTACTCAGACACATCAAATCCAACTCGCTCATCATAAAATCCAACTCGCTCATCAACAAAATTTATTTCTTTCAAATACTCCGTTCTCTCTTTCTCTTCTTTTATAGACTGTCACACTTCTAGTTTTTGAATTTAGTTGTGAACTTTGAGGCAATGCCCTCGTGAAATAAGTTGTTGTATATGAACATTTTTATTTGAATATTAAATGTGTTCTAAAAATTCGGTGATCTAAGGAACTCAAGCAACCTAACGCAAACTATAATGATGTCAATTAGGTGCTATTAGATAAATTATCAATAAGGTTATGAAAGTTGTGGTCTATAGATCAAATTTTGATCTAATTTTGACCATGGGCGTGGTTTAATGTCCTAGTTTATACCATTATATTAAACCACGGTCCACAAAAACTATGAATTAAAATTAATGTATAATTTTTAAAGTTGAGATCGAAATTTAACAAAATTTTCTACTAAAAAGACTTAACATCATCTGAAGTAGAAACTTCGTATTCTAATAATTTGTTTTTCAAGGTAGTGTAGTAGTATTCATGTGATACCCGTCGTTCTTTTCGATTCTCGCTTTTCTCTTTCTACTAGATTCTCATCCCGCAGGTCCTCTAAATATTATCCTTTATCTCCCTCGTGGGAGACCTTATCGTTTTGGTTGTTGCTGGGAGTTACCTTGGAACTTCAACAAATTCCTTGAGGTGACCCTTGTGGATGAGATCTTACACCTTTTCCTTGAGATCATGATATTCTTGTGTTGGGTGGTTCTAACCCCGATGAAAGAGGCATTATCTTCCTTTAGTTTTTGTGAGATGAGATCTTTATCTTTTCAGGCCATCTGGGTAGCTTCTTATCTTTTATCAGGGTTTACTTGAGCGAGATTATCGTTGAGGCATACCTCTTCAGAGGTTCTCGTTGAAGTGAGCCATATATTCTTTGAGGCTCTCTGTTGATTTCTACTTTATGGTAAGAAAGTAGGTCACGGGTCCACACTTATTCCTTCCTCCAAATGCCCTGGCCAATTCTTTGAAGAAGAAAATTAACTTTCTCCTCAATTGTCAAAGCCATACGTGAGCCGTTCTGGTTAATGTGAATGAAAATATCCTGCAACTGATAGCCTTTGTCACTCCATAGATGTCCATTCATTCTCTGTACGCGTCTAGGTGGTCGATAGAATCTGTTGAGATATCGTACTGTTTGATAGTAGGGAATTTTGAACTTTATAGGGATTATCCCTTCCACGAGCAGTGAATCTGCCTGGTCCATTATCTTCTTAGGATCAAATATTCTATCTTTCCGTTTTCACTATGCTTTTGTGCTTTCTCTGTCCGCTCGTGTCGACTAAGTGGCTTCTCCTTGTTGAGCAAGATTTCTCACAGACGACGCCAATTGTTGATGCAAAAATTTGGCTTCTTGAGATTCCGCCAAATTCACACCAATCTTCTAGAATAAAAAGGATCAACGAGACCTGCAAAACGGAAGAACATTAAAGACCGGTGTGGCTCTTGCCACAAAGACTCTGATGCTTAAGTCAGAATTGGAGTAGTCGAATATGGAGAATATGGTGTTTTTGGCGTACCTGTAGGGTTTGGTTTACCTTCCTATTTATAGAAGTCAAATCCTAATCCTTTTAGGAATTACAGAAGTCGAATCATGATACATCTAGGAAATCTAGATATCTGGGCTGGTGCGTTTCGTTATGGGAATGTCGTCGGATCAAGAGTGGGGACGCGATGAGTTCGGACCGAAATGCACTATAGTCGGGTTAGGCCATTAGAGTTCTCGGCCGAGGGCTGAGACCTGGTTGATTGAGGGCCAGCTCAGGTAGTCGAGCTCTGGCTCCCTTTTCTGGTTCGCGCCTTCGCTTGGTTCTCCTTCGGTCTTTGTTGTCTAGCTGGATCTCGTTTTATCTCTCTATAACACATCCCTTGTAACTCGATGAATTTGCCACCAATATCTCGAGATATTTTCATGATTGAATAATCTTTTAGAGATGTTTTGAAGGAATTAATAAAGCACTCTCGTGTGAAAATAATGTTCGAAGAAAGTCTATTTTTTACCGTAGTAGACGATAAAAAGTTACAAAAACTTTTGAAATTCTAGAACTCTTAAAATTCTTGTATAAATTATAATTAAATAAAAAAAATTAACTTTATGTTGTAGGAAAACTTGTTGCATTCCAACCATTTAAATCGTATGCATTTATTAGTATTGTTAATTAATAATTAATTTAATATTTATAATAATATATTAATGACATAGTTTGTAAATTAGTAAATTTTAGTAAGGGACAAAAGTGTCCATAAATGTTTTTCCTACATCCTCCCATTTTAATATAGCATAGATTTTAGATTATAGATATATATTGGGTGTGGACTCAAATAACGGGGGTCTAATGATAGAATATGATAAGGAAGGAGAAGAGAATTTATAGTAAGTATCCCTATTTGTCTCCCATTATTGAAAAATAACCAAATCATCTTTGGTAATGAAAAATGTTCATTTGTATTCTTATAACTCTTTTACAAGATTGATTTGATA